AATCGCGATTTTATCGCTAGCAGGGCCGCCTCTCGACCCGAAAATCTCTTTCCGCTCGCTTTAAAAACAGATTTTCTAATGTGAAACTCGTGTCAGAGGTCAATTGTTCCAAGTCCAGTAATATCTGCCTGATTTGCTCGCGTTCTAGCCTCAAACGTTGGAAAGACACAAATAAAAATGCAATCTCAACGCTATGAATCATCGCAAAGGTTAGTCAAAAAAATTATATAATGATTTCATGGAACTATTTTTCTAAACATGTAGCGCCTGTTTGTTTGATTTTGTCGGCCGTAGGGAGATTCATTTAAAAGTTTACTAACGCGTCGTTGCAAAACATTCGGCTTCACGAAGCTCCCCTCCACAAGATCTCCTCAGTCACTTCAATGTCTCAATGGTTTCTTTCTTACGGTCTTTATTGTTGCTGTTTCATTTCTGCGTATTCCTTTCACAATTATCTGAGCTTGTATGGAAGCTAGCAGAAGAAATAAGCCTTCACTCGGCATCAAAGCGCTTCCCATCTTTTGGTCCTCCGGCCAACGGCAATAAAAGTAACGCCAAAAACTCCAGATTTGGCCCAAATCAAAACTTAACAGGAACAATATATCATTGATCTGTAATCCTGAGAAGTTTTAGTGTAGTATTGAACTCGGCCAAGCGCGATGCAAACGGATTTTTCAAGGTTCTCTTACTCTCCTCGCATCTTCTGATTTCGGGACATCCTGTCCAAAAATCAAAGTTTGGTGCATGCGCAGTAACTGGATACTGTTCCTTTAATTACTTCAAGTAAAATAAAGCTTCACAGGCACACAACCGATTCTTTTTTACTTCAGGTTATTATCCCACGCAACAAAATTAAGATTGATTGACATGTCTCGCCTTTCTCAAAGCTCGAGAAACTGCAAAACCGCAAGTCAGCTAAGTCGGTCATAAGGATGGTTTTCAAGTCGCTTGAAACTTTCTTGAATCGTTTCAACTTTGAGAAGCAAAGCAAAGTTACTTGAGATCTTACTTAGGCCTTCACACACGAATTTTTGGTTAAGTAAAACTTAGCGGCTCTTAAGTCTTACTTAACAGCCTGGTGTAAAGGCAACCATTAAAGTAATACTTTTTCTAACACACGAACTGTTTAGATAGCAAAATTTTCTGAAATAAGTCATTTTTTTAACCTACATGACAGCTCTCTTGGCCGTCATGTAAATGCCGCGTCACGCAAAAGCTTAGAAATTCAAGCGTACTCTATCACAAAAGCAAGAACCCTTTTGAAGGGAAAATTTGTATGAAAATTAGTTTTCAGCTGCTCTAAAGGCCCAGTTCAAACGTCGAATTTCACATGTACCGAATTTAATTGCTATTTTAGTCGACTAAAATAGTTAAATACGGCATTTGATTCAAACGTCGAATTTATCTCACTGAACTCTGTCGAATTTAACTCTCTTCGCTGTCATATTCTCAGTAATATAATAATAATTTACTAAACTTCATTCATTAAGTTCAGCTCATGTGAAATGCGACGTTTGAATCAAAAGTCGAACCTAAGTCGAATCTTCGACTGTTTCAGTCGCAGATACGGCAAACAGTCGAATTTCATTGATTCAAACGTCGCCCTTCACATGCATTTAACTCTCGCGTTAAGTTCGGCACATGTGAAATTCGACGTTTGAACCGGGTCTAATGCATCGCGAAAGTAAAATTTCGGTAGGATTGATAGTTTTTTAGCTTGAATTTTAGTGACGTCATGTGAAAACCAACAATTCAGTTTTAAAAGACAAAGTATTTAAAGGTAGGTGAAAGGGGTACCGTTTGTCAACGGCCCGCGATCAATGGAAGGATGAAAAGGTAACTTTTTCTGTCAAAAATCGTATATAAAAGGGTAGGAAAGGGATTGGACCTCTTCCCCGTATAAATATTTCTTGAGTACCCCCGATAAAACAAGTAGTTTACGTACACTTGTGCTTGCATGCACAGCTCGCGTCTTCATTTTCCCGCGTCAAATAGAGCGGCCATCTCTTTTGCGAGTGCGTGTCAATTTAAACTTCTTAAAAACAGCTGGCAGTTGTTGGCCAACAATGTTGCGTCCGTTTGCACCGAGCTTAAAATTAAGATACAGAAAACCAAGGAAAATTGAGCCTACCGTGTCAGTTCCGTTATTCTGCTGTGAGGAGGACATGAAAAAATATGGCGTGATAAATCTGGTTTTTTTTAGTTACTTTAAAGTGATGCCTTTGAAACGACGAGAACGTTTTACCATGGAAGAAACTAGGAACTCAACCACTGAGTATTGGACGTTATGGGAGACAAAAAGTGTAAAAGTTGACCAATTACATTGGTAAAAACGAAGGAGCTACGGTTTTAAAATATTGGTCAGAGCAAAGTCAGTGAACTTGAAAGTTTCTGCTTTATGTTAATTAGTATACACATTCAACTATGAATAAGTTAAATGATAGATATGATTTTCAACGTGGTGGAGCGTGAAACCCAAAATGCTAACAACAACATAACAAAGATATCCGACAGGCTTCGTGACCATCCCATTTCATGACCCGTACAACTTCAGGCAAACAAATTTTAAGGACTATTCAAGAACTTTTCAAGAACAAATTACAGTTTTCAAGCACTAAGATTTATTTAATAAATCAGCATTCTTTAACCCCCTTTGATCACTCTATTGGTTAAAACCCGTCATGGTGTCATTTACGCCGATTATTTCGACCACCGTTGATCACACTAGCGAGCTTAAGCAACCACGAGGACAACCACAACGACGACTTCAAAAAAACAATAGGTTTAATGATCAAAACAACCGCTCAACACGTGCATCACGCTTTTTAGTACATTTCTTTGACGTTCACTGCACGACGACGTGAAACCTCCTAATTTGACGCTTTATGGAGGACATGGACATACTAAGACGAATTTCCCTTAATCTTTTTGAGCCTGAATAAAATCCTTAAGGATTCAACTCCAGGAAAAGTGGCCTGCATTTGACATATTTAAAGGGTCCAAATAGACGCGATTAAGTTTGAAAGAACGCAAATTCATTTTTTTTTACCGTCGTTTTCACTGCCGTCGTCGTCGTCAGTAGGGACCTTAAGATCCGAGGACGGCGACGGCAGCGAAAACATCGCTTAAAAAGTGAATTCGCGTTCATTCAATCTTCATCGCGACAGTTCCAACTCACTTACTTTGTCAAATGTAGGCGAACTCTCCTGGAGCTGAATTCCTGAAAAACCATATCTGAGTTCAGAATGAGAAAGAAAATTTCATAGTACCTTGTTTACGTCCTCCATAAAACGTGAAATTAGGCATTTTCTCGTCGCAGTAGTGCAGTGACGGCAAAGAAATGTACAAAAAAGCGTGATACACGTGCAAATTTGTTGTTTTGCTAATCTTAACCTATTGTTGTTTTGAAG